GTCTAAAAGAGAAAATGCCATTAGAGAAAGTCACGACAGAGGCGATCAATACTGCCTAATTTCAGAGCAGTCCAGTACAACTGGCAATATGTACTAAACCACTTGGTTTAACTAACAAATGACTAACAATCTTTAACATAATAAGTCTCCAGTCATAGCAGAGTGTGCTTTTACTCCTTGCTTTGCCTTTTTCAATTGTAGTTTAAAAAAGAGAAGCACAAGTGAAAGCATGATTGGTTTCTAGTAGTTTCCATGCAAATTCCTTAGCAGCTTGTGGTTTGTCTTTCCCGTCCCCCCCCCGGTTTTCCATGAAGGCATGCTACATGAACTATGTATTGCTTATGTGAAATAAAAGCCCAGATGATCAGAAATCCACAGAGGCCGCACTTCACAACAAGCAGGTACACACATCCTGATTGCAGGCTTGCATCTTGATGAACCAAATATTTAAGGCCATAGCTTGTGCTATGAACAGCATGCACTCATCTAATCCTTGAAGGCCGAGGCAAATACCAGACTTTGGATAGATTTGTTTTGGATTCATGGTTCAATAGCTCTTCTCACATACCAACATACACTCCAGGTCAGAGTAATCTGTTCCGAAAGGCCAACACTGAGACGACTCTGAATATGCAGCAAAAACTAAACATTAAAAACTGCTCAATAACTTCCCTTCTACAACTTCTTTCTCTTTGCTGTATCTTTGCCAAGTTAATATACTGACGTTTTCCCAGATGTCCATAATGAGTGCAGTGTTTTTGGAAAATTTTAGCTATTTTGGAAGAGTTCAACTGTTTCTCAGAAGATGGCCGAGGATGAAAATAATTCCCACCACCAAGCTTTTTAAAAGTAATAATAATAAAACCCAATCACTAAAAAAACCCCTGGAATTAGGAAAAAGTTCTTTCAGGTTGGTTTTAAGGTGCCTTTGGGTACTCCTTTACTTGACCTAACCAAGATAATGACTCCTGAAACTGCCAGCTGAGACCTGCCAGAGCTTGGCAGTCATACCACCCATGTGCTCTAGATACATCTCAACCCAGCTCCTACAGGGCCTGGGTCTTCCCCACACTTTTTCCTCTGGTGTGAATTGCTGTGTTTCAGAGCACAAGAACAGAGGTAAAGAAGCATCTCCCAGCCTTACTTCCAGACATCCTAAAGAGATGTCAATCTCTTTCCTACCAAGGGAAGAACCCAGAGGGGTAAGGCTGGAGGCTCCGAGGCTGCAATGCACCGCCATTAAGAGAGATTCAAGGTTGATTATGAGAAACTAGAGATTGAGAAAGAAGGAGGTAGATGGGAGAAACTAGATTGGGAAAGATGACTAGAGAAAACAGTGTAGAAAAAGATACGGTGAAAGGAAAAACCCACAACAGAGGGCAAGGCACAGTGCCTGTGTCTGTGCATCTGCCCTTCAAGTGCAGCAGAGACCAGGTAGAAGGCAGTGAGGTGAAGGATCTAAGTTGCAGAATAATGGAAACAGGCTGCAAAACAGAAGGATGTAACCTCCTATCAGACATCCCCCCTGCTCCAGTCCAGAACATAACACAAGGCTGGATCCAGGCATCAACACTCGCATCCTGCCATTGCACTGAGGCATGGTATTTAAGAAATGCACATTTTATCATTGGACTACCCTGAGTGAGACAATGGAGTATAACCTGAGACTGCCACCAAGCTGTCAGTTTTACCACCATCACATAGCAGCTATACGAGATTTAAGTGTTTCCAGACTTCCTTTTTTAGTTTGCTCATTTAAAGAAAAAAAACAGTCACTAAATAGAAAGCTCTTAAAAAGATTACATTTGCAAAATCAGACATAAGGTAGTAAATATCTAAGTTGACATTGTCCGTGCAACCTTTAATTTTTATGGTAGAAAGATACCTAAAATATTTTAAATTGAAAAATATAATGCTTTAAGATTTAGAAAAAGGTTGTTAAGTATAACTGAAATTACTTCATTAAAATAAACACAAACTTTCTCATTTGAAGCTGATCATGAAGGAAAGGAAGACATTAACCTATATGTTGCTTTACTCAACATGAAAAGAACCAGGTCAGTAACCTCTAATGAAAAATGCAAAAAACATTATTTTGCAATACAAACGCTAGGAGTTCACTTTTTTCCTGTGACAGATAAGTGAAATGGTAAGTCAGCTACTTTTCTGAAAAGAGGAACTTTGCCAGTGGTTTTGATTTACAGGGCTCTCAAGTTTGCTGAAACTGCTAAAACTTCAGGCAGGAAATTGTTTCTTTGTTTTAGTCTCAAAGGACAAGACTATATTTTTAATATCCAAGTCATGCTTTAGTTTCTAAGAAAAAAAAAAATCTACTGCTAGAAAAGTGTAATTGTTTGTCACTCACATGTTTGGATACGTCTCACTGATAGACAGCCAAGAAATTCAAGCACATGACATCAGAGCTTTAACTGCAGCTTCTGGTGTTAATTTTTAACTTGCTTAGCATCAAGTAGCAGAAACCAAAAGCATCTAAGGATTCCATTATTTTTTACTTGGATTTTGCTGTCATGACCTCACTTACCCAACCAGTTAAGCAGTAAACTGAAGTTAAGTCTCTGCGACAAACCATAGGTCCTCCTCTCCTTAGCTGTACATTTAAGCCTGATCAGTGGACCCTGGTATGCTGGTAACATACCCTATCTGGGAAGATACCTGCTCGTCTGATTACTTGAAACATTCAGGACATCTCCATCTCCTCCTGCCTATCTCTTCCACTGGGTAGAAAGGGATGGAAAAGAGAAAAGCAGCACTAATTTGTCCCTTTCTTAAATCTGTAAGGTCAGACAGGGCTTCTTGCTTTCCAGCAGAAAGGGCTCTGTTCACAACACGGGGTACTTCACCGGCACCGAGGTTCCAATTCTCCATCAGCTGCACACGGCTGCCACCTCCTGGCACAAATCGGATTTCACGCAGTCTCAACAAGTGCAGTGTCCGTCATTAATAGAGCAGTGCCTATCAAAGCAGCTGTAGGCAGACCCATACAGTTCTCTAAAACACTTCCTATGTAGAGTTCCCATGTTTACATGATATCCTTCCCTTAAAAGGGAAGTTAACCATTTATTTTCCATCAACCATGCCAAACAAGTGACAGTTAAAAATTACTGCTTACTAGCAAAGGTGATTAAATCTCAAAAACCCCCTACAGTTAGACACTCAAAAGACAGTTTGGCCAACTGTCTTTTGGCAGCTGCTCCTCTAGGAATGGTACACCCTTTCCAGTTATTCTGCCTTGTTGGCCACAATAATGATTTTTGCAAGTATAGCCAACCTGAAGGGCAAGCCTGGAACGGATACGGCGTTAGCCATTTCTCCCTTCAGAGGCAACTCACCAGCCAGGCTCATGAAGTCTCATTATTGAACTAGATTAGTCCTGCTAAAGGGGCAAGTGCATCTTAGAAGCTTCAACAAATTGCTTCCCAGGTTCAGCTGGGGGAGTGGGGGGGTAGCTGCTACCTCAGAACTAGTTTCTAGTTGGCCAGGAGCTGGGCCACACACTGGAATTCAGTCCTGTCCTACTGCTGACAACTGAAGGAGCACTATGGCAGAAGTAATTGTTGACTGTATTTATAAGCAGCCTTCTGATACAGGCAGACTGAACGCATTTCCTCTTCACTTAGTTGTTCAGCAGCACATCCTGCCCCTTGCTGGATGATAAGGTTTGAAGGAAACAACCAACCATGCTCCCTCAACAAAAGAAGGGCAGGGCAGAAGGCTCAGCATGCCAACACCTATGTAAGGGCTGTTGGAGTCAGTTTTGTTGACCTGGTCACAGCCACACTTCAGTAGATGCTTTGGAATCCACTCAAGTGGAAGGCAGACAAGGGATATCCTCACAGTGGCGATCACAGAGGCTGCAGGTAGATCTTGGCAGACTTCATCCAGCCATTGAGAGCAGACTGCAAGAAGTGTTCTTACCCATGTGCTGCTGCCAGAACTCATCTCCTGCATTTCTGGGAGTCCTATCTGTCTTTTTTTTTTTTTCCCCAACCTACAAAGTACTTGCTACCTATTGCCACAAGTAGTTCACTTAAGTTTTCCAAAAGCAGCACCAGTCCCCAAGAATGGTCAGTTCTTCCCAAGACTGAAACTGGTTTTATCTAAGATTGCCTTGTGATAGAATAGGAAAAAACAATGGGAGAGAAATTCTGGTTAACACAATTAGAAAGCAAGATAGAATAAAGCACAAATCATTTACATACAAAAAACACATTGAAGGGTTTGTACAGTGTGTATTGTTTTAATCCCACTCTATTTACCTTTGCTCCTCCCAACTGCCAAAACTGTCACAGAATAACAACATATGTTATGTTATGTCTTTAACAATGACTGATTCGTAATTCTCTAACACTTCAGTTGTTAAGCTGTCCTCAAATATGAATGTACTTGCAGCCCTGAAGTACCAGGTACTGGCCAGGATTTCCAAATGGCTACACAATCATGCTGCTTACCATTTTCACAGGTCTCTAAACAGGAAGAAATAAATCCAGAAGACTAGAAAGATCCCATTTATCCCAGTTGTTTAGGTAACATCAGGTTTGTTTCAATAGGTGTTTAAAGTGCATTCAGTTTAGCACCGCCCACTAAAAACTCCATTTAATTGAAAAACAAAACAGGCCATTATCAGGAGCCAGAAGACAGGAAAGTGTCTAGTATAATAGGAAGAGAATTTTATATGGGACTAGATAGGCTAATTCTTTCTTTTCAGTATAGGGGCTGCTGTATCAGACAATAATATCTCATATCCTACTGGGCTGACAAGGACTTAGATACCTACACACAGAGCATCAGAGACCTTTAGGCTGAATCCCAGCAGCACCTTGTACATTTTCTTTACCAGCCTGCAGTAGCACCCTCCTCTAAAACATAATGTTCTAAATACCCAGAACACCTCTAGCAAGCATCAAACAAGTTCTGGAGGACTACTCCAGATTAGCAGAGTTGCCACTTGAAGTTTCCCCAGCACACAGTTCCATACTGACCTGATGTTCAGCCATGACAGCATAGGAGTTGTACCTCCACCGACAATCCACACAGTGAAAAAGACGATGAGCAGAGTTGTTGAGAACATCATTTGATGCGAGTAGGTAGCAGTATCTCGTATAGCCAGAGCAAATGCCATGGCTCCCCTGAGACCTACATGAAAGAATGAAACAGCAGAGCTTCAGAAGTGCAACTGTGCCTCTTTGTAACACAGCATCTTTCCTCGCTCCCTCCCGCCACACAGGCACAAAGTGACAGGCAGAAAGCACTGGGCTCCAGCGAGTTTTAATTCCCCTCTGTTTCCCTGATAAATTATGCCCTGGGATGATTTAGAACGTAATTTGCCTTAGTAATTTTTTTTAACTTATAGAAGCCACAAGTGCTAAGAAAAGGTGTAAATATTTCCAGAAACAAGGAAAAGGGAAAGAAAGGCAGAAACAAACAAGTTGTGAACAAGAACAAAACATAATATGGAACATAAGCAGCTCCCTGCATCCAAATGAAAATGCACACTTTTCCAGTTGATTCTGTAACTAAAGTGTGAGTTCTTGATATGAAATTGTTATCAGCTGGAAAAACATTCTAGTTAGTAACATGTGCACAGGCAGACTATATTCCACCCACCTCCCCTGCCCCCGATAAGGAAACTCCACTAGCAAGGACAAGTCATGGCATTTGCCCATCTAAAGACTTCTTCAGTAGGGGAATCACAGAATCACAGGATAGTTAAGGTTGGAAGTGACCTCTAGAAGTCATCTGGTCCAACTCCACTGCTCAAGCAGGTAGGTTGCCTAAGACCACATGCAGATGGCTTTTGAGTAACTCCAAGGATGGAGATGCCACAACCTCTCTGGGAAACCTGTGCCAGAGGTTGGACACAGTACAAAAGTATTTTCTGATGTTCAGAGGAAACTCCTGCGTTTCAGTTTGTGCCCAATGCCTCTGGTCCTGCCACTGGGCACCACTGGAAATAGCCTGGCTCCCTCTTATTCACACCCTCTCCTGTGCAGAGGCATCCCAGGCATTTCTTGAGGATACAAACGTTTAGACAGACACACACTCCATGATTTGCTTTAAGTGACAAACTTATAATTTCTGTCGCACAGATAACTGTTTAAGGGAGTTTAAGTCAAATACCTTGCTTTCTCCAACTAAGTGGGAGAGGGCACTCACTAATATGCCTTGATTTTCTCAGTAGATATCTGTTTCTGCACAACAGAATGTACTCTTTCTGTACGTCATCTCAGCTAGGAATAATCTTCTGGAAGAGATACATACCAATTCCCCCATTCCCTTCAGACGCACTTCAAATGAAAATACTCTATTCCCAACGTGAGGTGACTGCTTGCTGCCAGCAGCTGGCATTTCAAGATGTCACTTTACCCAGACATGACACACTTTCTGTAAAGGTTGAAAGATACATGATGGCATGCTGCAACAACCATTAAGTCTTCTATTCAGGATGCATGGATGTGGTTGTACTATAAATTGCTTGTAAGATTTTTTTTTTTTTTGCTTTTACCTGAAAACATCATCATATGCTGAAAGTTCCAGCTGATCTTATGCCTTCTGCCCAGATTCAACAAGAAGGAGAGAGGGTAGATGTGTGCAGCTCTGCCTAAAAAAATTGCAATCTGTTCACAGCTGAGGGTTAAGGATTTCACTTTCCAGAGGTATGCACTCTTGGGTACCTGGCTCTAACACGAAGCTTCTGGTTTAGACAGAGGTTTACATCATGATATCAAGTGTTTTTGTTATCTCTGTCCATATCAAACAGACTTTCAACAATTATGTGCATACAGAACCCAATGCACAGAATGTAAATTTTAACCAATATAACCCAGTTTTTTAATGCACAGTGAAGTTATACCTAGTATTTAAACATCAGTTGTACAAATGAAGACTTCACTTAAATTTCACACTTTAAACCACTATCAGTACCACCATTCAATTATGTGTTTCAGACCAACAGAAATGCAGTCCTATGTACAGAATGAAAACCAACATAAGACCAGCAAGTGGCCACTCCATTACGGCTCCTGCAGAGGCAAAATCTCCTACTGGCTGGCAAGCACTTAAGAATACACAGTTACTAAGATGATACATCCAAAAACCACCTGTCAGCACTAGAATGAAGTTCAAAGAGAGTAGTAAAAAAAAGAGTATTGCAGAAATTCATGATGGTAGGTGGTAAGCTCCTTCGCTCCCTTACTGTGGTGTAAAACATTCAGTGGTTCCAGCGAAGAAGCAGAAAGCTGCATACACCCTCCACCATCTAAGGAATACTTTGGAACAAAGTAGAGTGATGTGCTGAAATCCTATAAAACACCAACACAACCAGAAGCCCATCAAACACTGATCATTTGGCTGCTGGGATAACAACATTAGAAGAATGAACAGTTCTCTTATGGAAAAGAAATAAAGCCATATAAGAGCTCTAGACACCACGGGGTTGTTGCCACAGCTAAAGTAAAGCAATACTGCCTGCAGGAAATTATGTCTCTAAGAAAATAAGATTTTGATTATTACTTTGTACAAAAAGCCTCATGTAATTATTCCAAACAACTTTTATAGCAGTCCTTTTGAGGACTGCAGAACTCATATATCATAAGCCACCACAGGAAGAATGGCTAGGATTTTTCAGTGACACTGAGGCTTTAGCTCTGCCTTTGCAGTCCAACCTTTCTCTTTCAACAGCTAACAACGCCTCTATATTTCACTCCCACAAGGTGTTAACTCAATGGGGACAGCAGCTGTTGAGGCAAAATGTGGGTGCTAGTACTAGCTGCCCTCCTCACAGAGGCAGAAAAAACACTCAAGAGGCAACAGAGGTTAAGTGCAGTGGTAGAAAAAGATGCAAAAAATGTAGTAAAAGGTAGGTGGGTAGGAAGAGAAAGAAACAAACAAGACAGATAGCATAACCTGAGAGAGGACTGAAGGCCACAGCAAAGATGAAAAATTACAATGCTTAGTATACCAGATGCAACTATTCTGTTCATGGCTTTATCCGATGGCTGCAGGGCTCTGAAGCACTTTTTCAGGTCAGAAGAACAGACGTGAGGAGATGTAGGAGAAAATTTATTACTGTTTCAGAAAAAAAGTAAATGGCCAAAGGAAAATAAAGACAAATGTGATGAAAGTCTAGAAGCAGTACAGAGATGAGAGAAAACAGCGGAAAAAAGGAGAGAAAAGAAATACATTCTGGATTAGGCCATCTTTGCATGTCCTTTCACTGGGTTTTATCTCATTGCCAACAGTCCTCCTGCAGCAGGCAGAGAAAAATGAACACTGGAAGACAAGTTCCCATTGCTTCATGCACACTTTTAATTGCTCTGAATGTTCAAGCAGCCAGGAATATAGTGAAGAAATAGGTACATAAGCAGGGGCGGGGTGCAGAGAGGAATCCAGTGATTCCCAGCTTACACGAGTGTGACTACTACAAAAGTGTTCAGTTCTGGGGAATTCCAGAGCCAGGTACCAAGTCAGCCAGCGACAATGGGAACTGGATAACCACCTCCAACACCAGCACCTTTCAGCAGTGTGCACCCTTCATGTCATGGTCTGCACCATAGCTCAGTTCCTTCCTCCTCCCCCCATCACCTGAGAACTTGACCTCTCCCTTTGGGGCACTACTCAAAGATATTCACCCATGATCATCTTTATTTACTTGAAGTTCGTCTGCTTTCTTCAAGGGACCATTGGAAGCAAAGAGAAAAATGAATCCTTTCTAGGCCAACGTTCAAATACAAGAGCAACACAAGCATTGCTGGCTGTCAATAGCCAAGTCACACAGTAAATTTATCTATTTATTTATCTGTTGAAACTATATGACTTCTAGCACTTGCTCAGGTGCAGAGCCAACAACTGTGTGGCACAGAGGCCTTAGGGATTTGATGTAAGGGGTAACCAAAGATTGTTCTCAAAATTCTTGTGCCTGCAAGACAGGAGGGAAACTCAGGTCAGCCACCATCCTCTATTCAGTAAAGCCAACAGGCATCATACATTTTCAGGCACATAAAATAAACCTCACACAAAGTGAAAAAAGGATACAAAAGCTCCAATAATGAAAACTGGGCTGAATATGTGTTTCTGGAAAGTAAACAGTGCCAAACCCATATAAGAAAATATGAAGTTCTCTGCCAGGAAGTGCAATACCTCAAAGAGCTAGGGAGAAAACAGTCATATGTTAATGGCCAAGCAATAAAGCCACTTTTCAAAAACAATAGTACGCAGAATATTACAGCAATACAGTGTACAAAAAGTGAAAGACAGTCTTGCCTGCTTAGTGCGACTTCTTGATTCAACTGACAAATTATTGTATGTGTAATGCGCCTGGGTAATTCCACAGAAGAGGACAGCCACCACACCTGTGAAAAGAATCACGTGTGAAAAATCAGCCTGTTTACAGTGTGAGCCCAACACATTTACTTAAATTTATACATCATCCTTAACCTTGAGATTTTATGAACTTTATTTTCAATTGAGTTAGATTCCAGGTTGGAATCGAGGGCAGTTGGGCAAGTGATCCAGACCAGTGCTTTTAAAAGCCACACAGTGAGCTGCACCTTCGATGGCATTGTACAGAACATAGAAAAGCTCAAAGAACCAACATCGCGTTTCTCATTGGAAGGCTTCAATAAGGAAGTGGAAAAAGGGCTGCTAAGACAGACAGGGCTTCTGTCTCCATATGCTTGAATCTCAACAACTCACCAGTAAATCCACAAGCTTCTGCAAGCAAGAAAGTGCTCCAGGACATCAAGAAGAAGAGAGCAGTTTCCAGCAGGGGGAAGCAGTGCAACTTGGTAAACTTCGTCACGTTAAATCATTTGTTAAGGGATCAAAAAAATAAAACAGCTTCCCTGTACCCAGTATTTATAAAAAACGCTTTTATGTACTAAGGACCAATGCTAGTCTGAGAACAGAACACTTTTAGTGCTGAAAAACATCAATTCCATCATATCAAGACAAACTTCAGAATCAAGGTCTCCCCTTGCAAAAGTCATCAGTTTTGGATGTTTTTGCTGCATATCAATGGCATAACTGTGGCTCCATCTCTTTGAAGTAATATCTTACTCTATGCCACGTTTCCCTGCAAAGTGCCAGCAGGGAAGGGATATATACCTGGCGCTCCTTTTAGATTGTGTCTTGGGTTTTTGGTTTTGTTTGAGGTTTGTTTTTTTAGTTGGTTTGGTTTTTTGTTTGGTGTCTCTCCTCCCAAATAAAGATGCCCCCTCATCTTTAAATAAAGCATAAAGCATAAAATACATTCAGAAGCATTTAATTCACAGGTCTATTCTTGCCTACAGCAACCCTAAGATGACATAGATTTATCAGAATTTTTCTGCTCTGATTTGTTGACAAGTCTTTTTCAGAAAGCACGGCTACTTCTGTACTTTTGAGGCAATATAGAAATCCTGCCTACAATAAAATATATTTATTCTCCTTGTAAAATAAGGAGTTGAGTAAAAGCTAACTCAGTTGGAGTAGCTCAGTCTTTCAATGGGAAGAAAAAACAAGTTGATCTTCCAGATGAAAGCAAAACTTGAGGAACATCAACCACACATTAACAGTTCATACACCTACTGAAGAAGTGGAACAGATTTCAGTAGTGTTAAATATAGCTCTTCACATACTACAAAGAAGTTATTAACATATTTATAGATTTTTAAGGGTTTTTTTCACCTCATCACTACTCTGGCAGCAGGTAAACACTGAACAGCTCACTGTACCTGAGGTGCAGACAGCCATGCACAACTCTAGTAGAAGACACAGAAAGAAACCATGTGCTAACAGGGGTGGTAGAGAGATCCCTGGTCTTTCTGAAAGATGACAACTAGCATGATATTCTCTGAAATCCAAGTGGGAGAACAGCAAGAACACTTGAAACAGTAAGGTGGTAACACTCTCCCCTGCTCATATGAAGGCAATCGGTACCTCAGTGTGTCCTTGATGCCTCAATGGACACATCAAGGTTGCACCATCATTCACCATTGCTCTCCACATGTAACACAGCTGCATCCTGGGCTCTCTGCAGCACTACACAACCTAAATCCAATGGCAGCACCGCTGCTTGGGGAGTCGTGGCTCAGTATGGTACAGGAATGCTGAAAGCAACGAGCAACACTGCCTTTCACAAGAAAATTCACAGGTCCTGGGAGATCCAGGGCTCAAAGCACTCGACTCCCTCCTGCAAGCAGCAGTCAGGTAGCCCAGAAGACTCAGTGGAAATGGTCTCCTGTGGGCTTTATCACAGAATTCTGTGTTTGCAACAAGCCACAAGTGATTCACACCAGAGGGAAACAGCTGGCAGTGTTTCAATGGGAGCCTGGTTAGGATGAAGCAATCCTGAGGCTAGCCACCCGCTCCCCACCCACACTTGTTGGCAGTCTCTGCTACCTTGGAGAAGGGCAAGGTCTCTGAAGCACAGCCTCCAGCCACACTCAGCTGCAGCCCGACTTTGTCAGAAGGTTACCCTCAAAATTAAAGCCCAAACCACCATAGAAAAGAATATATTCTTTTCCATGATAGTTGGCATTACACTAAATATAAAACTTAGCATTTTTTAAACAGCTGTTAATTCTCCACGCAGTCACTTCTCCACATAAGCCATCTGTCTCAAACTCTTGAGGATGTACTGTTATACTTAGCTGAATTTCCACCACCCTCCCCACCAAACCAGACCTATTTTCTAAGATCATGCTTCTGAAGCAGCAACATCCACCGTAGCAACAACTAGAACCTGTCTTCCCACAGAGCGCTCAGATAATCCCACCACAAGTTTATCCCAATGCCTGGCTCAAAGGGCATTCATGGATGCTGAGGAAACTGGACAGGCACTGCCAGTGCATGGGAGAGGAAGACGTTGGACCTTGCTCCCCTGAGGTTAGGCAAGGGTCCTCGTCAGAACCAATTCCTCATTTCCAGTCTTTTCTGACAGCTTTGTGAATCAAATCATTTATTACCCTTGCTGCTGTTATAATTATTGTAAGTCTGCAAGGAAAACCTGCTCATCATTTTGGAGGAAGATGAAAGTGAGAGAAAAGTAAGGAAAAAAATAAGTTTTGTTATTTCATTTTATTGACCAAATTGAAGTGTTAATTCAAATTAAATTATTATTTCTGTTTTCTTAACTTTCTTTCTTTATTCCTTAGACATGGTCTTCTGTTTCACTTCATTTCAACCACGCAGATTCAGCAATTTAGAATGAAAATATGAAGTAGTACAAGACCTTAACTGTTATAAAAATAACCACAGATAGTGAGGTCAAGACAGCTTGCTGAAAGCCACAACGAGTCCTTGTATATTATCTGCATCATATTTGGAAACTAAGTATTCTGTCTGTTTTCAAAGGACAATGCATGACTGCATGAAGCCACTCAGAGAGGTACAGTTATAGGTACTTCACATCCACAGGAATAACAGTCCATTAACTTCATTCATGACTTAAGTTATCGGTTCTAGTCAGCTACGAAAATGCAAATTTACAGTTTGCTTCCCCAGTTTTGCATTACATTAAGTATTATTCCAAAAGAAAATAGTTAAAATTGTATAATTGAGCAATTGTATAATTGAGCAACAATTTGAGCATTTTTTGTTTTGTTGTTTAAAAAAAAAAACAAAAACAAACCCAAAAAACAAACAAACAACACCTCCCCAAAAAACCCACCCCACAGAGGTTGCCTTCTGAACAGCCTCCTCCCTCCCAGGCTCACAGCACCCTCCTGAGCACGAACATCAGAAACAGCGAGAACCAAGTGCTGCTTCAGAAGCATGATTTTACAAAATGGATCTGAATGCATTTCAGCTGTAATTAGTAGCCAAGCAGCAAGCCAAAACCAACAGCATTTGATCAGCCAGAGCTATAGATGGCTGGCAGCCTAAAAGCCAGATGAAGAATCATGGTCCTGGACCGCAGTGACTGTAGAAGAGTGGAACTGGAAGATCGAACATTAAAGCACCACCAGCACATCTTCCTCCTTTTACCTGAAGGGTTTCCATTATGCAGACATATATCAGACAAATCCACACAGAGTATATATAACAAGATACAGTTGAGAGATCATTCCTTAAGATGAAGAGTCACAGGTTCATGATTATTGAATAAAATACCACATTTTACCCCTTTTAGGTCAGTTTTCAGAATTCTAGGCAGATCAAAGCATGCTGGGATGTTTACAAATATGGTTATATTAGCCAGACTAAAAGCAAAAGAATTTGATTTTTTTTCCTGAAGAAGCATCAAGATTTCTGGAACAGGTCAGGCTTAAGGTCTACTGCCTGAGCCTAAAACAAAACTCACACAGATCACCTGCTGAGTGCCTCAGAACTCCAACCAAAACAGCAGCAGTAAGCTTCGAGGGTATAGGACAGGTCATGCAAAGCACAGCATGTTATGATGTTAACTCTGGTAGAGATAAAGTCTTATCCAAGATAGATGACATCAGATTTCTAGTGGAAAGGTTAAATGCTTTACTCTCAGAAAGAAGACTCCCATGGTGTCAGAAATAGCTATTAATGATTTTGCTGAAGACAGAATCAAACACTAGTTATCACATGAGAAGACTTTCAAGCCTAATAATAAAAACTTTTTTTTTTTAATTTCCTAAGAAGAAACTGAACATTAGGACATGCCCATTTAGAGCCTCCCCTTGGCTTGCAGCATGCAGCAACATCACTAAAACTTCTAGTGTGGCCACAGTTATATTTGAAAAAGGCAATTTCTGTGCGTACCTATACGCCTTTCTATAGACAAAGGAATACTGATCACATCTTTGCACTCAGATTAAAACAAGCTAGGGGCAATTTTGCTATAGCTGGAAACAGGAGAGCCCTGTTAATACCTGAATGTGTCATCTAGTCTAGAAGAGCTAAACGTGAAAAAGGATATCAGAGCTGTCACAACCCCCGTCACTGCTCCCATCATGAAAGAACCACTGAATATTCCCAGAAAAACACCAACCGACTTGAAAAATGCTGCTGCATCAAAAGCATGGGTATTTTCACCTGTTGGCTGGTAGGCAACTATAGATCTAGAAAGAGAGAGTTACACAATGAGAAGTTGGAAGTGGCATCAGAAAAGTTTTATTCCATAACAACAACACCTGAACAGCAGCAGAGACAATCTCATACTGAAGGCAAATTTGCCTGTCTAGTGTATGTATGCAAAGGCATCTCAGCAAATGTTTGCATTGTTTATTAATTCAGTTCAATACAATCCACTTAAATTCAAAATACCATTTATCTGAAAAAGCATTTACTTTCGACAAATACCAAAAGCAATTAAGTAATGTCAGAGTAGAAATTCAGGTAGTTACTTACGACGATAATACAATGGCAACAGCGTCATTCAACACGCTCTCCCCAAACAGAAGGGCATAGAGATCGACATCGGCATGCAGCTCATTAAATATTGCTAGCACGGTAACTACGGAAAGAAAAGAGAAGAAACACACCGGCTGACTTCAGGAACGACTGAGTGAGCTGCTGTAGCAGACCTTCCAGTTTGTCTAAAGCAACAAAATCCAGGAATTGAAGTACAGGATCAAAATTAAACTGGGAAACAGACTAGTCATGTTTATCTATAGGTGAGCAATTCCACCATCAGTTTTAGGGCAGCTCCATTAGGAGGTGGCTCTGTTCTCCTCCCATCTGCACAGTGTTTACAGGAAAGCCCCCATGGTCAAGGGGCATTGGGCAGAGAAAACACTGCTAACCAAAGCCATGATATTTTCTGTAGAACATGTTCCATGTTATAAAGTCAACAAAACATTGTGCACCTCTTGCTACTTTTCAAGGCTGTATGGATTGTTGACATATCTTTATTATTTGAGCCGTTGTAAAATAGTGCTAATAATCCTAAGTGTTCCCCAAAGCATATACTATGCCACAGGAATGTGCCTTTGCACAGAATTTGAAAAGGGCAAGACTGCTAAGTATTTATATCCATCCTTTCAAGAAACTTCAGCCTTAGATGAAAGACCATAATCTTGCAGATATTCCCATATATGAGCTGCAAAAATTACATGGTGATTTTTTGCATAAATTGTGTGCAACCACCAGCTGTTCTGAGCTTAGCTCAATCACAGGAGCTACTTCCCATTTTCACACAAATCATGACTGAGCACCTCAAATAAGCTGTTTTAAATATCAAGCTTCATACTTCACCACTCCCTCCTCCCGCCCCTGACGCACATCAGCTCTCCAGACTGACCTGTCAAGCACGGACACCTCTGCGAGCCTGCTGGACTTTGAAGGATGACTAGATTATTTTGGCAAAAGCTCAAATTACTTTGCCAGAAGAGCATTCTTCTACTTAAAATTGTAAAAGATGAAGTTGATTTGAAGGAGAAAAAAAAAAAAATTCCCCATGCCTAAAGAGCCTAAAAGCCTCAAATATTGCTCTTAAATTATCAAATGTGCCAAGCAATGTAGCTAGAGAAGGAAGTCCCACTATCCAGACTATGTAATAATTTCATCTATTTGCAGTCTTAAACTTGATGCACACTACATATAAAACCTACTGGGAAAGATATTTGAAGTGTTTGAACAGGAAAGTTATATTTTTGCCCAAACATACCATTACATCATACCAGTCCAGCATCAAACAGAGAGAGAACAGCTTTCACAACACTCAGAATTTGCATGCATTTCAGAGAAGAGGATCAGAGATATTAGCATTAACATAACTGAAAATAAAGTGCTGTTAATATTGTGCTATGCAGCCAACAATCCTAGCAATAGGATTATTTTGGAAGATTATTGAAAAATGTTCAGCAAGCTACCTGGATCAGTGGCAGATATTATTGCTCCAAAAAGGAGGCAGTCTGTATAATAGAATTTATCAGAGAGCTGACCCACCAACTTCATTAGTTTCACAACCCCATACATGAGATTCCTGAAGAGAAAGAGGATAAAACAGTTCAAGTCAAACAAGTTGGTGCATTTCAGACAGGCAAAGGAAAAGCACAAGCAACAATATTTCAGGCGGGCTTGGTTATGCTACAGCTCCATGGGACACTGCCACAGTTTAAGCTCTCAAAATTAATTTTCCTCTTTTCCCTATGAACTGAGTCAAGTAATATATGATCCAGAAGATATCATTTACAATCACTAAGCAAAGCATGAAGTCTGTTCACACAACTAGTACACAGAATCTACAGGTTGTTTCCTTTTTCCACCAAAGGGAACATTTCCCTGCTCAAAATCCCCCTCAGTATTGCTTCTCCCAACACAGTACATTGACCAAAAGCTCTGAACTAAGAATAGCCTTCAAAGTATTTCTCTTTAGTGAAATTCTTTGAGACACAAACCAAGGTCACCTATGCAATTCAAGATTTCTGTATTTCAGAATATCCATGCACTAGACACAGTAGTATTAGCACCATAAGAGATTATGTGCAAGTAAACCAGTATGACCAGCTATCTCACGTGATATACATACGTGATGTATGTGAGTATATATATATACACACACGCATAAAATTCTATATATACACATATGCAGAGAGAGAAAGAGAGAGCGTGCACACGCATATGGGCACTGAAAGGGACATCTCCAAGTGTGATAACTAAAATTGTATTGCAAGAGGTATTCACAATTCAAGTTAAAGTCAATTCCAGTAAGAGTTTAACAAAATTTTGTTTTGGACTGGGCCATTACATGACAAATTCAACACCGCTCTTTAGTACTATGGGCTTGTCAAGTGATTCAAACTTGACAATATAATTTCAAGGGACAGTATTGTTTAGAATCGGGATAAATCTCAGCAAAAGTTACATTTGCATTTTGTCTGGAGGATACACAAATAAAATCCTCAAACAAAATTTACGAAATTGAAGCAATCTGAAAGGCTTAACATACACTTTATCAACTCAAACTTTAGCATAGAAAGAAACTGATATCACAGATTTCACTTACCCAATAATAAAACAAGAAACTGCTGTTCCTAAAAAGGCATAAGCCAAAATAGACCCCAAATTCCTGAAAAAGTGTCTCTGCATAGGAAAAAGAGGTTTATATACTTATTTAAAACATCTTACATCACCTGTTCAAAAACATACATCATGCTACTATGTTTGAATTAATGGAGAGAAACACTCTTCCATTTCAGAGAAATGCTTCCATTACTCAAATGTAAATTCTGTCCAATAAATTGAATAAACCAAATCTGAACCATGTATTAAATCCTACATGGAGGTTATCGACAGGAAGCTTTCTACACAGCTGTTTTCATAAGAAATGTAAGAGCTGCAAAACTAAAAGCTAGCACAAATTCATGGTGTGTTCAAGTGAGAACAGAATCTGGGCCCTTCTACCATTCAATGTCTGGCACATCCCCACCAGCATTCAGGTTTGGGTCCACTTCTCAGCATAATTTACTGCATTTTGGATATTTGAGAGGGACCAGAACAATTCATAGCAGGACATCTTTTACTTTAAATGAAGTTGACGTTAACCTCTGGCAATGTTCAAAGGAAAACAAATTAGCAAGATTAAATAGATTAAATGTGTTTATAGTAAAAAGTACATGTATTTTCTCTTAAAACAATATGATCTAGCCATCTATGGAGGAAATTGGATTTTTCTTGTTGCCATAAAAAAATAAATGCTTGAAATGGAGACTGCACTCCTGAACAAATAACCAGTCTCATGTTATATTAAAAAAAAAAGAGAAAGGCTATTTTCCTCAGAAAATTATTACACTTACCTTCTTGAGGCTATAACCAGCATGAAAAATGATAGGAGGCAACAGAATGTTGAAAAATACTTCTGGGTCAAATGTTACCTAAAAAATAAAATATGAAACTTCAATTAGAAACAGACATACACAAATTGTTAGGTCTTTTTCCTTTTTCATCTTCTGACAACTACTGGTTTTGGTTGTTGAAATAGCTAACAACTGGCTAAGTTGACCCTTCAAAATACTGGCCAGCTCTATACATATGCAGCAACAAAAAGCATCAGCTCTTTATGGTAAACAGCATCTAGAAAAATAGATATTACATCCATCACCAATGATAGTCTTGCAGCAGTCCCAAACACAGTCTCCTTTTTAAATTAAAAAATTCTAATAGAAATGGTGTTGGAGAAGATCTCTCTTATTGTGGTAAGTTATATTCATATATTCGCAGATGAGACGCTATTTAAGCTGCCTTTTTTTTTTTTCCCTCCCATGCGTCTAGCCCCTGCACAGTTATTGTAAGCCAATCAGGTCAGATACAGGACTGGTTCTTAGGAACTGGGATCAACCATCACTTCCACATATTTCAGTGGAAGCTCCAGGTATCCATGAAAGACTACACTAGAGTAAGGAACATTTAAAATCCAAAACAGAAGACATGCACACATGTGAGACTAACTAGGCTCTCTTCACTCCCACCTAGGCACAGGTTAGAAGACAAACAGAAGTGTGCACTCCCAAAATAGGATTAATTTCAGCTAACTTTAGATAACTATAGCAGACAGGTGCATATAAACAGCCACCTAAACTCTCTTCATAGTCAGTAGAAACAAGTATTTTTAGGTTACAAACCTTAAAGTCTCAACCCTACATTCAAAGTCTAGCTTTCATACACACAAAAAAGTAGTTAATTCCTGACACTGAATAGAATAAGAAGCCAAACAGGAGATCTGAGTAACAGTTAATAGATGAATTTCACTCCTAACACCAGACTGTCTCATTTGATTATAGGGATGTAAGAAGTAACTGTTTCCTGACAATAAACAATAAAAACCTTAAGGAAAAAACTACTAAGAAACAATCATTTGTCACTAAGAAAAAATAATTTTCCTTATATTCTATTATACAAGGCAGCATCAGGCTTTTTTTGTCCAGCTGGTCTACCTGAATTCTACAGACATTAGAAATGTACATTAAGTCTTCAAACAGCAATCAGGGGCTTTGAGGAAGCACTACATACATGCAACAGAGCACAGTTTTGCCGGCAGTGATATAATACAGAAGGTGCTTTTGAATTAAGCATTGAAGTGCTGCTACTCTCAGGAATACAGACACTTGATACTACCTAACATTCAAACGGGATGGAGCGGGGACGAGGGAGGGAAGTACAGATAAAGGAGAAACACTCAGCCAAGCACAAGAAATGGCCTACCCTTACCTTTCGCAACATGTCATTTTGCTCCACGTTGTGGATCTTCCCAGGGCTTATTTCCCCTTTGAGCGTATATTCAAAGAACTTCCCGCTGACGTTGACCAGCAGGGTTGTAAACGGCCTGTCCTCCTGCGAGCAGCTGAACGGCTTGTCATGGCCGCTGGTAGAGGGAGTCCCGTATCTCAAGATCACCCCAACTATGAGTCCTGGAAGAG